AGGTCCAGCCCTTGCTTCCTGGACGATGTGACTGTCAGCCAAGGACAGAAGTACAGGTTAGCATGGGCTATGCACAATGGATTATCCACACCTCCCACCTAGTATTTTTGAGCTACTCTGTATCTATAATGCCATAGGTCATTATACATACCAACTTTTTAGCCTGCTAGCAAAAGGAAGATAAAGAAATAGCCAGGAAGCTAGATCAAAAGGTGATTGATGCTTTGAAGAATTCAACAAATTTGAATTAAAGGAACTTGGGAGAACAGGTAGAGAAAAAGACTTTGGTCTCGGTTTTGCAGAGGCCTGCCTCGTGTATCTGAGCACACCTGAATGCAGAGAGGGATGTCTACAGACCTAGGAGTAATGTATTTCAGGCAGATGTACAGAGTAGGACTTAGCAAAGACCCCCTACTTCAGGAAGAAGGGGAAGGAGAGGACAGGGATGAAAGGTCAGAGGTCCTATGGCTGTTGCAGTTGGCAAGGTATGGACCAAGGTAGCTGGCTATGCCCCAATACACCAATTCTCCAAGGCCTCTCTGGATGTTCTGCTGAGACCACAGCCTTTGCCATCTCCTTCCCAGGAGAGTAGTTTGTATAAGCTCATAGGCACAGGAAGCCTCTTTCATTCCCATCTGCAGGCGCCTGTGTGTGGGAGGGAGCAGGGATGCCTGCAGAGGTGAGACTCTCCTAGGTTTCCTGGTGGTTTCCTGGTTGAACAAGTCAGCCAGCTGTGGTGAGAAGGTAGAAGTAAAAGAATCTGAGCAAAGCTGAGCTGTGTCCAACTTCACCAGGCTTCCCCACCTCCACACTGGTGATTTTCCAGGCCCAGGCCCCTAAGCCTCTGAGATCAACTGTGTGAGACAGGTCTCAGTTCGCACTGTCTGCCAAGCTGAAAATCACAAAATGTCTCAGCCCCTGGCCCCTCGGAGGTTCTGGGTCCATTGAAACGTGATCTAGCTTAGAGTTTTTAAGTTTTCCCATGGTAGGGAGATAGATCAATGGGAAAGAGTACTTGTGAAAGCAAGAGGCCCTGAGTTCAAATCTCCAGGTTAAGACAACCACAGTCTCATTTATAAGATTGTATACTGTGAACACTTCACCTCAAATGCCTCCAGAGCCTAAGCTGCAGAGGCAGAACACTTGCCTACAGTGTGTAAAGTCCTGGGCACAACGCCCAGCGTTGCAAAAAGCAGAAAAATGGAAGTGGGGCCCACCCACAGTTACCCCGGGCTAGACCGAAGCACCAAAGCTGCTTAATGGCCAAGCTGAGACACAGAGAACACTTATATTCAACCTAGTGCTTTTGTTCTAGGGCCAAAGGGATGGCTCAGAGGCTGTTTCAGAAGCAAGCTTGGTTCATTCCCAGCACACAGATGAACATAACTTCAGCTCCGGGGTCTTCCACCACCTTCTTCCAGCTTCCAAAGCCATTGCTCACATGGCAACATCCATACAAACATAAATAAGTCAAAAAAACAAGTGAAATTGGTGTTCTAATTCTAACCTTTGAATACTAGTTGAAATCCTAAATGATGAAACTTCCAGGTGCGCCAGGCGGTGGTGGCACACGCCTTTAATCCCAGCACTTGGGAGGCAGAGGCAGGCAGATTTCTGAGTTTGAGGCCAGCCTGGTCTACAGAGTGAGTTCCAGGACAGCCAGGACTACACAGAGAAACCCTGTCTCGAAAAAAACCAAAACAAAACAAAAACCTTTCAGGCGCTTCTTCTGTTTGGGTGAATCACTGTATCTTCCTTGACTATTCTCCTCTAATCTAGATTTTAACATAAAGATTGCCCTCTTATACTCAGTTTTTTCCAAAGTGACACAAGATTTTGTGGCCTTTATAATTTCACCAAGGACTCTAAATTCCTTTATTTGAGATAATTTCCATAATTCTGGAGATCGAAAGTTAAGAGTTTGAGACAGGGTTTACTATATAGCCGGAGAGCCTTGAGCTCAGATCCTCTGTCTTCTGAGTGCTGGGATTAAAGGCTAGAGATGGAGGTGAGGCCTGAAGACATAGCTCAGAACCAAGAGCACCAGTGGCTCTTTCAGAAGACCTGGGTTCAATTCCAGTACCCCACATGGCGGCTCACAGTGATCTGTAATTCTGGTCCGAGGGAATCAACATCCTCTCAGGCCTACGTGGACACCAGACACACATAGGACACATATCCATGTGGAGGGGAGGCACCCGTGGAACGAGTCCATAAGTAAAACAATCATTAAAAAGTCAGATGGACTGGGACACATCTTTAATTACAGCCTTTAAAAGGCTAAGTGACGTAGATTCCTGAGTTCAAGGCTAGCAGGCCAGCCTGGTCTACCTGGTGAGGTCTAGGCCAGCCAGGGCTACACAATGAGACCCTATGTCAGAAAGAACGTGGGGGAGGGGAGATCTAACCAACCAGCATTTGTACAGTGATGTTTCATATCATATCCATTGGAAGAAAACAGGACAGCCTAGTAACTGAGGAATAACACAAGGCATATTAAGAACATGTTTCTGGGCCAGCTATATGGCTCGGTGGGTAAAGATGCTTGCCTCCAAGCCTAACGACCTAAGATGAATACTTGTAACCCACAGTAGAAGGGCAGAACTAACTCCTCTAAGTGGTTCTGACTTGCGCATGCACACGCATACACAAAACAAGTAAGCAAGCACATGTAAAAAAATATATATATATATTAATTTTAAAAGGGAGAACCATTTTCCGATTTGACATCCATGATGAGGAAGCACCTGAGCACTTCCGTTTTTCCTATGCACTGGAAACTAAACTCTCCCGAAGTCCAGGGTGCGTCACCAGTAGGAAGCACGGGGCTTCCCGGTGAGCTCCTGTGCTGTTCTGCTCCACTGAGAAAGACTGCCTTCATCCTTCATCGAGTCTGAGCCTCTCTGAGAAACTAATGAGGTGTGAAGAAGACAATTCTACAGCTTTGGGGTCAATTAGAGGAAACTAAGATGAAGAGAGCTCATCTCTGGGTCCATAGGAAGACTCAGAGGTAATAAATACAGCTCCTTAAGAAAGCGATAAAAGGAGCCGGAGAGACGGCTCACCGGAAGAGTGCAAGCAGGCAGGTTCAATACCCTGCACTGTGTCAAGTGGCTCACCGCCATCTATAACTGCATCTGGTCTGCAAGGGTACTCATACGTGTGCACGCACGCACGCAGGCGCAAACACACACACACACACAGAGGGAGGGAGGGAGGGAGGGAGGGAGGGAGGGAGGGAGGGAGGGAGAGAGAGAGAGAGAGAGAGAACACTTAAAAATAAATTGTTGATAAAAAAAATGAAAAAAAAAGGCCCACAAAGAGAGTAAAGGCACACTGTACAAACAAGACTGACTGACAGCCTGCGCTCCTTCCAGAGTGCTCCAGTCTTGGTGGGAAAGGGAAGAGACGACCCCTTCTACTTACTCCTGATACCCACCCATACATGCACCGATGGTGCCCTCTTATAATAACAAATAAATATACGAAAATTTTAAAATGACAATAGATTTGTCATTTTTGAAGAACTAGATTTAAAAAAAAAATGACTGCTTTCTTGGCCCAGCTAGAAAACGTCATCCTCACTTTAATGGGACCCCATCACAGTGGGACTGAGACGATAATAAGAACGGGACAACAGGATGGAGGAGAGACTGGAAGGCAGCAAGTCGATTAGCAGACAGAAAACTGTAAGAAGCAGGCTAAGGGTATGACTCCTAATAGAGGCTCTTAGCGTGTACAAGGGCCTGGGTTCAACAACCACCACCATGCAAAACCAAGATGGTGCTTGCAATAAAGCCTATCATGTTTATTCCCCCAGATAATCGATACTCTCAGTCCACACCATAAAACGCAAGCAGAGGCGATCAGGCTTTGCTATCGCTATGCAGAGGAAGAGTACCAAGTTGTGTACAAACTTAAGTTAACAAATACCCTATGAACACTATCTTGCACTGAATGCTTTGCATAAAACATAAAGCCCTTTCAGTTCAAATGCATACAATGATTTTTTTTGAGGTATTGATTTGCTGAATCATCGTCTTTAAAATGTTAGCAAGCGTTCAAGGCCACCCTGTATAGTTCTAGGTCAACCAGTATGACCCCAAACTTTTCATTTATTAGAACTGAGTCCTGGTGGTGTTTAAAGAACCGAGCCCGGGCTCCACGACTGGTCACGTGACTGACACGTGACTACCGTGGGCAGCTCGGAAGCGCTTCAGGGAAATTGCTTTAACGCACCAGAAATCACGCGCACAAAATCCACAGCGCCTCCCTGTAGTATATTTTTACTATATTTTGGTTTAAAGCAAATCGTTGTGACCAGAGGGCTTATCTTGAATTCACCATCCCGCATGTGTTCGTAGCACTGTCCCGGAACACTGAATGTTCCCTGTGGTACGAAACTGATGAGTCAAGTTCCAGTCCCTCTCTGAACCCTGCCAGGATGTGAGGTCACAGTGACATTCTGTACTATGGGTGACAATTGACAGTGGGTATCAGAGTCAGGAAACTGGCAGAGCCGACCGAGCACACATAAAGATCAGCAAAACCCTCCAGGCTGGGGGCTGGTGAAGGAGAGAGAGGGCTGTCGAAATCTTTATCTCTGTCCCTCCAAATTCTGAGAAGCATGAGACCGTGTCAGACATAAACCACACAATTCAGATGGAAAGAAAACGCAATCCTGCACTGTAAACGTGTTCTCCTGGACAAGCAGAGCGAAGGGTTAAGCTGATGCAATTTAAAAAACAGCCTCCGGTTCCTATTCATTAATTCGCTCTTTTCCGATAAAATGTATGATTCATAAAAACAAAACAAGCAGCTTGCTGTTAAGTAAATTTTGTTTTGCTGACTGGTAATAATCTCAAATGTCTTCCGGGCGGCGGCGCCCCGGCTGTCATTTAAAATTCAAGAACTCACTTTAAATTCCCCAACCCCTAATCTCAACCTGAAATGCATTAACTCAGCAACTTTTACCTCGAGCCTTTAACCAGATGCCTTACCCTAAAAGTCTCGGCCACTTCTTCTGATCCTCTTTCTCCAGCAAACGGCGCCGAGCATCCATTACTGCAGTCCTAAAAAATAAAAATAATTAAACCTCCATTAAGTAAAGCCAGGTGGGTCAGTGCGGGGACTTGGTCAAGGGTCTTACCATCACAGAAGACAGAAAAGCCAAGCCTGGACTGTCCAACAGGCAGGGCCAGCTCCAGCCAGAGTGGCTGCCCTAGGCTTCCCACCGGGTCCCAGGTCTGACTTATCTTTCTAGCAGCTTAGGAGGAGCTGCTTACATTCCGGGTCAGCCCAGGAGCCGGGGTTCTCCAGCAATGAACAACAAGGCAATTGTCTCCGGAAGGTCCGAGTAAGTCGTCTAGACCGAGGGTTTAAGCCATTTATAGAGGGGTGGGGGAAAAAAAATCTCCCGAGGGCGCTCAGCCTCGTGGTCTTGTCAATCACAGGCGCACAATAGGCAGGCTGCTTCAAGCGTGAGGGGACACGGACTGGCTGGAACCATTTTCTCCACCCGCAGGATCCCCCCGTGCTTTGGCGGCGGCCAGAACATTACACTTGAAAAACAAGACCTCTTTATACTGGCAGCAATTAAATAAATAAAAGATACCGTGGTTCGGAATTAACTAGGGAAAGGAAGGGGCAGGCATTCAAAAAGCTGGAAGCTGGTTCGCTAAATAACTGCGAAAGAGGGAAGGGGTCCAAGACTGCAGAGGCAGCGGTCTGGATATTTTGGTGGCAAAGTCTTCCCCTCATCTTCCAGTGTTCCTAGCCTAGACTCCAACAGCTCCGGTGACGCCCCAGCCATCATCCCTAACGTGCCCAACCAAGCTCCTGTGGCGATCCTCACGTTTTCTTCCCATAATCGACTGTGACCCCAGCGTCCCCTGTGACGACCCCTAAATCCCCACAGTGGTCCCTCAGTCCCCAGTGGAGATCCCCAGCATGACCCCAGAATTCCCGGGTGGAGACACTCTTAGTCCCTGAGTCCCCGGTGGCGACTCGCGAGCACCCACGTATTATCTCCATCCCTGAGTCCCCTAGTGGCGACCTCCCCGGTGACCTGGAGTCCCCCAATCCCTGCGTCCTCTGTGGCAACCTCCAAGTTCCCCGCACCTCCAAGTCTCCCGCCGTGGCCCCCCCCCCGCCCCCCCCCCGCCTCCCCCCGCGACGGGGGGGGCTTGGGGTGGTATCCGAGGAGCCTGGGGGGGCCCCCCCCCAGAACCCCCCCCCCCCCGAGTGAGTCCTCGCGGGATGCTGGTCCTGGCGCCCCTCGCCCTTCGCCACGTAGGTACCTGACGAGCCAGGGTTGCAGTTTCTCGGGACAAGCAGGCCATGACGAAGCTGCGGGCGCGTGGGAATACGTGGCACAGCGGCGACACGTGGCGCACCGCGGGTCCCGAGAGCCTGGGGTTGCAGTTCGGCGTGGCGGGCGACAGAGGTACGATGGGAGAGCCACCAACAGGCACTAGGCGCAGGGACGAGCGCAGCCGCTGCAGCATCTCCGCGTCGCAGATGCGTGCAGTCACGCTTGGCTGGGCACGCGCATCGAGGGCCCAGGAGCACCGGCGCTTTATTAAGGAACTCTGAAGGGCAGGGCTCGGGACATCTCAGCGACACATTAGCATCACAACGGCGCTTTCCGGGACCAGGGTTTGGAGCCCGGACCAGCATTCGTGCTTGAGCTCTCGCCTGCAACAGACCTACAATTGCAGACCGAAAACCGTGAATCCAGTTTTCCAAGGCTCTGCGTCGCGGTTTGTGCGACCTAGCTACCCTGCGGGTAGCGCAATCACCGTGCGGCTTACGGTTCAGGCAAAACAGCGTCCCCGCTAGTGTGGTGGCTGTCGCTTTTAACCCGGCCCTTGAGAGACTGATGAAAGACGACTGACCTGTGCTACAGTGAGACCCCTGTCTCCCAAACAAACAAACACTAGGGGTTGGCATCCATATCCACAACCACTACCAGGTCCCAAGGACCACCAGCTGGCCTTGAGTCCTTGCACTCAGGTGTTAAAAACTAACTCCTTCATTTCTGCCTTCACTATTGACTTTAAAGAGTTAAATAATAACAGGGCCTCCGTTCTCCCTACTGTTCAGCTTCCAGACTTGTTTAGAGTCTCAATGTTTGTACTTGTACTTCTCATGTAAAAATGAGATTTGTGTTCTTATTTCCCAGACTGCTTAGTAGACCACAAAGACCTTCTGAGAACCAGGTCGTCTTGACTTGAAAAAAGCGAGGCTTTCCGAAACTGGCGGACCACAATGACATTAAAAACGGGTAACAATGTGCTTGCGCCAAACACTTCTGTTAGGCTCTGCTCGCTTGCAAAGATTATAAGGGACCTACGTAAGAATTCTCTGCTGCAGTTCAGACACGGACTCATCATCCTACTAATGTAAGCTCTCCACATCATACCAACACACACACACACACACACGGACACACACACACACACACGGACACACGGACACATGGACACATAATTAAAAATAATGAGTTCCCAGACATAGTTTTGGCACTTTTCTGACAGTGGGCTTCTATAGCAATATTAAAAAGAGGTTAAAAAAAAAGCTTAGAAATGTTTCTGGGTTTAGTAAAGGAAAAAGGGGAGACGCCAGCTTTAGTTCCCTCTGCCCTACTCTCCAGAGCCACATGGAAAACCCTGGCCTGTTCCAACAGCCTGAAGTGTTTCTCTAGTATGTATTTTTCATTTAACTTTTTTTAGTGCTGAGGTGTATTTGTTCATCGTTACTAAAGTACACCATGGCTCAAAGGAGTCTCAGTCAATGTCAGCTTACAGGCAGGGAGCCCTCCTCCCTCTCAAATTGATAGTGGTCCCTGGGTTGCCATGGCTGACCTTGAAATGGGGAGATGGCTTTGTATTCTGGGGAGAAAGCAGTTAAATCCACCTGGTTCCAAAGTTCTTCTATTAAGTAGCTAGACAGAGAGCAGCAGTCTTGGAGGCCCAAGAGGGTAGACCCTCCCCGCCGATCAGTCTTGAACCCCACCTGCTGTTTCCCAGGTAAAACTAGAAAGGGATATTACCCAGCTATCTCTATTTAGGATTGAAAATTCTATACGCAATGGGGGAGGCATCTGACCTTTTAGAACTACTTCCTCTTTCCTGATCAACAAACGAACAGAAACTGAGTTTGACCTCTTGCCCCAAAAACTAGAACTTTAAACATGGCTGTCTCCTCCATGAGGAGTTAGTCTAGTTGAGCCTGTCGTTCACCTGGACAGGATATGACCCGCCACAGGGGGCTCTTCAAAAAGCTGAACACTGATTTATGTGAAGATCTGGTTCTAGCATCCTTGGACATACGTCTAACGGACTGCATCTGGCTGCGGTCCGCATCCGCTGCAGCTCTGACGCTCTTGCGCATGCGCATGTGTCCAACGACACACACACACACCCCCACCCCCCACCCGTCGTCTCGCTGCTCTCTACATCCACTGCAGCTCTGGCGCTCTTGAGCATGCGCATCTTACTGTCCATGACTACTGCTGCTCTATTCAAATAGCCAGGAATTGGAAACCACCTAGATGACCATCAATTAATTGTTGAATAGATCATAAAATGCGGTTCATTTACACAAAGGAATGTTGTTCAAATGTTAAGAAAAATAAAATGTGCAGGTAAGTGAATGGAGTCAGAAACAGCCATCCTAGCCGGGCGGTGGTGGCGCACGCCTTTAATCCCAACACTTGGGAGGCAGAGGCAGGCGGATTTCTGAGTTCGAGAGTTCGAGGGTAGCCTGGTCTACAGACTGAGTTCCAGGACAACCAGGACTACACAGAGAAACCCTGTCTCGAAAAAAACCAAACCAAAAAAAAAAAAAAAAAAAAAAGTAAAAAGAAACAGCCATCCTGCCTGAGGAAAACAGACTCAGAAGGACAACTATCAGTGTTTTACATGTGGATGTTAGCTTTTAGGCTTTAAATATGTATGTTTCAGTGAATAATCAGAGGATAGGCAGCTTGTAAGGGACCAGGAAGAAGAGAGGGAATCTTCCAAGGAAGAGGAAATCGAGTACAGTATTACAAGGAGACAAAAGGGAATGGATGGAATGAGGGGAATGAGAAAAAAGGGGAGGTGGAATGAGGAGATACTAATAACACTAACAGCCATTTGAAAAGCCAAATAGAAACCTACCCTCAAAATAGACAGGGACAAAGGGAACTTAAATGGAATGACTAAACAGAGGAGGAGACAATGCCCAACTAGACATCTTGTGTCACCAAGTAAAACCTCTGGTGCCAGAAATGGATTCCATCCTATTGAGTTGTTGGCCAAAGGGGTCCAGTACCATGGACTCTCCCAAACATCTCAGGCTAGAGCCACGGCTATTGGTTACCCTCCATAACCTAATGGTAAAACCCTGTTGCTGAAGACATAATTTGTACATGTCATCAAACATGGAGAAATTCAGCCTAGATGAAGCTCTACCTCTGCAGACTAGCATGCACAGTACTAGAAAGTATCTCATCACATACCACCAGAGGAGAAAAGTAATCACCAATATCACCCATCTATGAACCATGAGATCCACAGACTCCTGACTGCAAGATGTACAGGTGAGATAGTGGCATAAATGTTAATGTTGGATACAAAGTTTCACAAATGTTATTGTTGATACAAAGTGGCCCCAAATGGCAGTGCTAGTGATTATGCCCTAAACAGAAAGACTCTGATTTGACCCGGTAAACAGAAAGACTATTACGGAGTACAAAAAGGTCCTAAACTCCGCATCTGACAGGATTGTGTTTACCAAGAAAGTCACTGAATCCCTTAAGGACCTGACCCTCTGCCAAGGGCATCTAGTTCCTGACTAACCCTGCACTAATACCTACGCTTTTCTGGCCTGCTCCTCTCCTTGCCTGTCCCCTAAAAGCTTCCTGCTCCGTCCACACACCCTCTCCCCTGCCAAGAGAGCTCAGCATTTTGATTCCTCAAATAAGCTTTTCTTTCTACCCTCGCTTACAGTTACGGGAGTAACCAGTCACTTTTGTATTAGATTTAAAGGCCCATTCTATGAAATGGAACCCATACATTACACTGCTTGCGTGGCCAAAAACCTGAGACTAACTAGATAAGTCACGGGCCTAGAGGAAAACATGCTATTATTCTGCTAAAGAAACACAGCAGTGAATGACTCCTGATGACATATTGCCATGCCCATTGGGTAGAGCATCACTCCACTGTGTGTCCTTCCCCCGGCCTTGAGCAGGCCTGAGAGACCTAGTTTACCACAACAGACCAAGTGATACGATCTAGGTGGAGCTACCACCTTGGCTGCATGAAACTTAGAAGAACTGCCCCTGGGCTTGCCTTGAGACATCTACGTCCGTGACCATGACCAAGAAAGGATTATCCCAACCATCTCTCCGGCTGAAACTAGGAAGGGTTTGGGCGGGGTCTTTCCCTTTAAATCGAGAAGCTGAACATTAAAGCTTTGAGCCTTAATCAGAGAACTTTGTCTTGGCTTCATCTCTTTTCGCTCTCTGCCTCCCTTTCATTCCCTGCCCCCTTTCAGGTGAACCCGGTTGATCCGTGGCTGCAGGCGGCTGCACCACTGCATCAAAAGATTCTGACAGTACAGGGGCTTGATGCAGAGACAAAGAGAGAAATCTGTGATCCACTACCTGTCACTGGAATCAAGTCTGTTCATTTTTGAGACAATGTCTCACTTAACTGGATGCTGGCTTCAAAGTCACTAAGTATCCGTACAGCATGAACTCCTAATCCTCCCTCAATCACACAGTGAGTGTGGGAAATGCAAGAGTGCTCCTCCGCACCCGGCTATGCAGTGTGCTAGGGTCAAAGTCAGGTGACCTCCCTAGTGCCTGAGTCTGTCATCCCACAGTGTGGACAGGGAGCACTTGATTGAGGTGGGAACTAAAAATCAATTCGATGCTCTCCCTCAATAGACTGTGACTTGTTGTTGCTTTTCCAGTGCTGGTATTTTCTTTATTCTGCATGTATTCTTTCAGCTTTTTTTTTTTCTTATTTGTGTTTGCATTTTCTTCACAAACCTCTTAAATCCAGGTGTCCCTTTTGCAAGAACAATCAATTAACCCTCCATGACTTAACCTTTAAATCTCCTTACCCCTGCTCCTATAATCTGCACAGGGCAAGCCTGCTGAGAGGCAGGCTCACAGATGACCTGGTAATGGGAGCCTCTTCTTCCCTCAGAACACCACACAAAGTGTGTCACAGGGTGGCCATGTAAAAACAGAATGCATGGCAGTCCAGTTTCACACGGAAGATGAATGTGCTAAATGTTTCTGACACCCCAGGCTCCTCTCAAGCCAGACACCTGAGCCTGCCCCTCACTCCCGAACCCTCCTCTGGGCCTCCCGTTATCTCTGCACACAGAGGACAGCCTTAGCCTGGAAAGCCTCTCTCCGGCCATCTTGAAGCTCTGTCACAAGAGTGACAGATGGACAAGGAAGCAGAGTCTAAGTAGAGATTAGTGATTTCAGTATTTGTTTGGA